TTTGGAACGTGTTGGAATAGTTGGTGTGGATCCTCGAGGGCTCGGGTGAGTTTCGGACGTTCGGAAGGAATGAAAACACATCAGTTTTCTGGTGTTTCTTGGAAGCAGTTGCACGTCTCGCAAATGCGAGAAATTATTCGCAATTGCGAAGAAGCCCGACCTAGGCAGTGTTCGCATTTGCGACACATTTTCTGCATTTGCGATCCCAGAAGAGTTCGCATTTGTGACTCTTTGGTCCCATTTGTGACTCTTTGGTCGCATTTGCGACCCCGACAGCTGAAGGTCAACCTTCGAATTTGCGAGAGTTGTGTCGCATTTGCGAACCTGGTGTCGCAAATGCGACATCAGAGGCTTGTGCCTAGCTCATTTAATGCGTGACTTAGGCCATTTATCTCACTTTTCTTTCATCTCTTGGGCGATTCTTGGAGCTTTTGGAAGAGGGTCTTCACCTAGCACTTTGAGGTAAGTAATTCCTACACAACATGAGTTAAATACATAGATTATGAGTGGACTATAACATATAAATTAGTGGAAATCATGGGTTTAGAGAAAAACCTAGGTTTTTGATAAAAATGGAGTTTTACCACGAAAATGGTTATGGAACTTAATGAAAATCATATATTTATGTTCCTAATGTTATGAGTAACAACTTTCTTTGAAAATTTTCGTAATTCGGGCACGTGGGCCCGAGGATGAATTTTATCAATCTTGCATTTAGAGTTGGGAAATTACTTAAATAGTAGGGATATGAACTTTTAAGCCTATATTGATTAGTTTCTATACTATTTGGATAGTTTTGGATTGTTCGACACCAAATTGAGGGTTTGGGCATAAGCTTGGACCGGAAAGTAGGCCTTAAAGCGAGATAAATCTACTTTCTAACCTTGTAAAAAGGAATTAACCCCATAGGTGAACTAAATTATTGTGTGCTTCTATTTGTGGGGGGATACGTACGCACGAGGTGACGAGAGTCCGTACGTATCTACTAGCTATGCCTATGTCCAGGTAGTTTTAGACTCACACCATGCCTTGTTGATATTGTTATTGATTTATGTTTATTGTCTGCCTTAAGAGGGAGCGGGATTGAGTTTGCTTATCAAATATTTTTTAAAGGAGTTGAAATTGAAAAGGGTAAGATTTAAAAGGTTTCGTTTGAACTTCGTAATTTCGAAAAGGATTGAGTAATGTTATAATAGCTTAAGAAATATATATATAACCGCGTCACATGTATGTTTCGCGAGCGGGGTAATTTTCTTAAAAAGCTACAAGCTGAATTTCCCTTATTTTGAAAAGAATCAAGAAATATATATGATTTTAATGTTAAATTTATATTTGACCGCGTCGTAAGTATGATCCGCGAGCGGTGAGATTCCTTAAATTTATATTTGACCGCGTCGCACGTATGATTCGCGAGCGGGGTATTTCCTTCTATCACTCTTATGGGATCGGGCCGTCGCCTCGGTAGGATTTATGTACCACGCTCTC